GCTGCTTGGCATGAAGGGGGTGATGGAGATGATGGTTGCCCTGTGTGGGTCCGAGAGGGAGATCGACCAGCTGGTGGCTGTGGAAGCCCTCATCCACGCTTCCACCAAGCTGAGCCGGGCCACTTTCATCATCTCTAATGGAATAACACTCCTGAAGGAGATCTACAAGAAGACCAAGAATGAGAAGATCAAAATCCGAGCCCTAGTGGTAAGGATGCCAGCCCCTTTGTCACCTCCTTAACCCTGGGTTTGGCAGAGGGAGGAGGTGCTGGGGACGTGCTGGGGACGTGTTGGGATTGCTCACCACAGCTCAGGGATGGCTTCTGGTGCTTTCCTTACAAAGGAAGATGCAGACCAGAAAAAGCACAGGTATTACTGGTAACCTTGAGGGCAAAACTGCTTAATTTTCCACTAAAGACATCCAATAAGGGCACAACATCTGAATTTGCTGTGCGACAAGCTGAAAAGCCTATTGGGTTTTTGGATGTTTCCTCTTAGACTTGACTTCCAATACTGGTTTAGGCTGACTTTGGGCAGAAACACTAGAGGATTAATGAATTATTCAATTCCTCCTCAGGGTCTCTGCAAGCTGGGCTCAGCAGGAGGGACAGACTATGGGCTGCGGCAATTTGCTGAGGGCTCCACGGAGAAGCTTGCCAGGCAGTGCCGAAAGTGAGTTGTACCTTGGCTTTAGTTCTGTTATTCCCGACTTTGCAAAGCATAACTATGTGCTCCTCTCTGGCTTCATTCCCTGCTGCGGAAATGCCTGCAGGGAGAATCATAGAATCAAAGAATCATTAGGGTTGGAGAAGACCTCTAAGATCCCTAAGTTCAAACCTAACCCATCCCACCATGCCCACTGACCACGTCCCTCAGTGCCACACCTCCACAGTTCTTGAATACCTCCACGGATGGTGACTCCTCCACTTCCCAGGCAGCCTGTGCCACTGCATTACCACTCTTCTGAAGAAGTTTTCCCTAATATCCAACCTGAAAACCTCCCCTGGAGCAATATGAGGCCGTTCCCTCTTGTCCTTTTGAAAGAAAAGTTCTTGTCCTGAGGCACCCATAGGGAGATGTAGTAGAACCCAAGTGCAGGCCCAAGCCTGAAATGTTCTCAGCACATTTGTTCCTCCTTCCTTCTTTCCAAAGAAACCAGTCCTGGCTCCTGAGATAAAAGTAGATTTCTCTCTTCCAGGTGGTTGTGCAACACCAGCATTGATGCCCGCACCAGGAAGTGGGCTGTGGAAGGACTGGCATATCTGACCCTGGATGCAGACGTGAAAGATGACTTTGTGGAAGATGAGCAAGCCCTGCAAGCTATGTTTGAGTTAGCCAAGGTTCTACCCCCTTACAGTGTTCTCTCATCCCTCTTGTAGCAGCTCTCCAGAGTAACACTATCTCCCTAAGCAGGAGCAGTTCTGACTGCAAACCCTCATCTCTAGTTTAGAAGTTCAGTTTTGTATGTGCTGCTGAGATACCCAAAACTTGTTATCAACAGATAAGAGCAGAAGTTTGCTCTTAACCTTTACTGTCAGCGACTGTAATAGGCGTTACCACATGAAAACCAAAGGCATCAAGGTTCTGACACCATCTGATGGGACTGTGTCCTGTTTGACCATAAACTTCAGTTTTTCCCTCATCTGGGAGCAAGCCAGTGAGCACTTCAACTAGGACTTTTATTTCTCTGTGCAGACAAGTGACAAAACTATCCTGTATTCTGTGGCTTCTGCACTGGTGAACTGCACCAACAGCTACGATACAAAGGAGCTGGTCCCAGAGCTGGTGCAACTGGCCAAATTCTCCAAGCAACACGTGCCTGAGGAGCATCCCAAGGTAGGCTGTGTGTGGCCAGGAGGTGCTCAGGTCTGAAGATTTTAGATGTTAGGTGAAAGTTCCTTACTTAGAGGGGGGTGATGCACTGAACAGGCTGTCCGGAGAGCTGTGGGTGCCCGTCCCAGGAGATGCTAAGGCCAGGCTGGATGCGGCTCTGGGCAGATGAGCTGGTAGGGGGCAGCGAGCCCATGGGGGCTTGGAACTATGTGATATTGAAGGTCTCTTCCTAATCCATTCTGTGATGATTTTCTTTGGTGTATTCATCATCACAGCCGCCAGGTCTCCTGGTTCCCAGCCTATCAGGCTGAAACTGCTTTGTTCCCCAGCAGGATGGCAGCTGCTAGAGGCTAATCTCTTTGCCATGTCCTCCCCTCTGCAGGACAAGAAGGATTTTGTCGTGAAGCGAGTGAAGCGGCTGCTAAAAGCTGGCGTTGTCTCGGCCTTGGCCTGCATGGTGAAAGCTGACAGTGCCATACTGACAGACCAGAGCAAGGAGCTCATCGCCAGGTGCCTGCTGGGCTGCTGGGCTTTGCCTGGGATAGAGTTAATTGCAAAGCCTTTGTCCTGTCCCGTGAGGGAGGGGGGTTATTGCTGCTCCAGTGAGTGGTGCCGTGCTTTTGCAGGGTGTTCCTCGCGTTATGTGATGACCCCAAGGACCGTGGGACCATTGTTGCTCAAGGTGGTGGAAAGGTGATTCCTCTTCCAACCTTGTGATTCTGTGATTCTGTGATTCTGTGATTCTTCTACCTGCAGCCCAGCCTGACGTGTATTAAATGTCTGTTGGGATCCTGCAGTGAGGGGAGGTGGCATTTAATGCTTTCCTGTGTGTTAGGCCCTGATACCTCTGGCTGTGGAAGGCACAGATGTTGGCAAGATAAAAGCTTCTCATGCCCTGGCAAAAATTGCTGCTATCTCCAATCCAGACATAGCGTTCCCAGGAGAGAGGGTGAGTTTTAAAATAAAAAAGAGAGGTGAGAAACCACTTGTTTTGTTACTTTTCTTTTTTCAAATGAGAATCACCAGTATCATTCAAATGAATATCACCAATATGGAAAAGTAGTGATACCTCTTGTTCTCAGGTGTACGAGGTGGTGAGGCCCCTCGTCAGCTTGCTGAACACCGAGAGAGATGGCCTCCAGAACTATGAGGCTCTCCTGGGACTCACTAATTTTTCAGGAAGAAGTGATAAGCTTAGGTGAGTGCTGCTGCTTTTTGGGCTTTTTCCCTGCCCAGCTGCTTTATCAGGAGTGAATCTGAATTTTACTTCAATGCTTTTCTCATAGATTTGGGAAGAGTGGTTAAGTTGAGCTGCCTCTGCCTTTTTGTTCAGGTCTCTGAACAAAAAGATCCATAAAATACCCAGTAAGAAGTGTTTTTCCTCTGGAAAGGGGAAAAATTGCATGAATTCAATTTGCATTAGGCAAGGAATAAACCACATATCATGAGTCCTTGTGCTGTGGGCAGATTTATTTCAAGCCCCCCAAATCTCTCATCTGTCTGCAGTTAATGTTTTAGGTTGATTACAGGAAAAGAGAAAATGATTTCAAATTAACGTAGGGCAGATTTAGGTTGGATGTAATGAAGTTTTTACAATGAGGGTGGTGAGGCACCACATCGGCTGCTGAGAGTTGGGATGATGCCAGTCCCTGCAGACCCCCCAGGGTCAGGCTGGAGAGCTGCAAGCACTGATGGAGCTGTGGGTGTCCCTATGCACTGCAGCAGTGGGACCAGATGGCCTCTGGGAGTCCGTCTGAACTCCAACCATTCCATGATTATCCCATCTCATGATGTGGTTTGATTCCTCTTCAACACAGGATGAAAATAGTCAAAGAAAGGGCACTGCCAGACATTGAAAACTACATGTTTGAGAACCATGACCAACTCCGACAGGCAGCCACGGAATGCATGTGCAACCTGGTGGTCAGCAAGGAGGTAACTGCATCTCAGGTCTGGCTGCGTGCAGCAGCTCCTGAGGCACCTCGATGATGCATTCACACTGCGTTGTCTCTGGATTCTGTGACTTTTTCCAGGTTCAGGAGCGGTTCGTGGCTGATGGAAATGACCGGCTGAAGCTGGTGGTGTTACTGTGTGGTGAGGATGATGAGAAGGTCCAGAAAGCAGCAGCAGGAACCCTGGCCATGCTTACAGCAGCACAAAAGAAACTCTGCTCAAAGATGACTGAAGTGGTAAGACATAAGCCTAATTACCAACAGTGTAGGCATAACCTTGAATGCTTCTCTTAAGGAAGATGCAGTCCGTCAGCTGTCCAGTGAGGAACTTAGTGTGCATGCTCCTTGTTCATCCCACAGAAAGTAAAGCAACTTTCCTTAAGCCAGCTTCCAAGGCTTCATCTTAGAGATGAAACCATTAATCTATAGCTGTTCTTCAAGTGAAGCCCAGCATATAAGCTGTCAGGCAAGGTTAGGAATGCAATATTACACCCTTAAAATTTGATTGAGGTATTCTTCAGACCAGTACTAACAACATTTCCCTTCCTTGAAGACCACCCAGTGGCTTGAAATCCTGCAGAGGCTCTGCTTGCACGATAACATGGAAGTGCAGCACCGTGGACTGGTCATCGCTTTCAATTTAATCAGCGCCAGCAAAGAGCTGGCAAAGAAATTGGTGGAGTCAGAGCTCCTGGAGATCCTGACGTTTGTTGGCAAGCAAGAAGATGACCCCAAGAAGCAGCATGTAATTAACGCAGCACGTGACTGTCTCACAAAGTGCATGGATTACGGGCTGATCAAACCTCTCTCTCGAGCGTGAGGAAATGGAAAGTACCAGAAAGGGTTGGGTGGGGAAAAAAACTTACTGAGAAATGTGAAGAACAGAGGCATGAAGAAAACCCCATCGCCAAGGCAAGGAATAGAGCCTGGGGAGAGTTTTGAGGGATTGGTGTTTGGAAAAGGAGGCATTTGCATCAGAAATTTAGAAAGCATCCATCTGAGCTCAAGATGGTGTAAATCCATTCATGACCCCCATTCAGTTCTGCAACCATTCACAGCTCCTAGTACCACGGTAGCACCAGGCTTAATTGCCTCCCATCCAGTGGTCAGAACATAAAGTGTGTGCTTTTCTTTGTGTTTTTAAATGGCTTTAAGCAGTGTGTAAGAGTGGAGGATGAACTCTTAATAAAGTCACTACTTTGCTCCACGTAGAATCTCTGCTGCTTTGCTTTAATCAAGCAAATGGTCGAGGGCAATACTCAGTTGCAAAGTTACAAAACACAGAGCAACCTAGAATAACCAGTTTGTGGCACAAGCTAATTCACACCAGTTTCAAAATATCAAATGTGCAAAGATGTGAAAATCAGCTAGATGAAGAGGCAGCACTGATGACGTAAGCTGAGGTTCACACCAGAAACACACAGAGGGCCCAACAGGGAATACTGAAAACATCTGATGAAGGAAGAACAAGCAGCCACCAGTTGGCAACCACACTGCAATTTTATTGTATAAATATCTGCATTCCTATCAATAGATTCTCTATGCATGCTATGCATAACACAAATAAAAGACTTGCTTTAGTCTGCAGCAGAACAGAAATCTAAGTGCACAGGAAATATGATATTCTGCAGTGATCTGAAAGCACATTAAAATATTTCCGATCGTAGTGAGTGTTAGTGACATTCCTGTGATCAGCAGGGCATGATTAAATGATTGACGTGTGGAGGACAAGAAGGGAATCGTGCAGATAGTCTTCCCTAGTTAATGACTACTAGTTAATGGCTAAGGAAAAAAGGAAGATGCCTCCAGCTTCCAGAAGTAAGAGAAGCAAGAATGTTTGCGCTAACAGATTTGACAGCCTGAGGCAAGTTTACTCCAAGGCTGATCCAGACGGGTACTATGTCTTATTTTAACTATATCCAGTATAATCATTGGTGTCTTGTAAGCATAAAGGGAGAGTATTAGATTCTTCTTCCAAACCAGCTGAGCCACAGGCCATTCTATAGTGGAAAACAACATGGAGGTCCGTGGCTTGTTTTCAACCAGCCTTCAATTTTGGATATCCAGTTTTAGGAATTTTGGATCTGCTCTTTGAAAGGATTTTGCATTTAAGAGTTTTGCCTAACTGGCATGTCTGAAACCAAGACAGAAGTGCTACTGATACCTAAGGTCAGTAATGCAAAGCTGATACAACTAGGTGGTTCTAACTCATAGTGATTTGCTGAAGTTGAGTGGGAAGGTCTCTCGTAAATGCTATTTCTGTGTATAGTAGTTAAAACATGGACAGAAGGCTTCATTTTCTACTCCATTAGGTGGCTAAGAAAGTACTTCCTTAGGTACCTAAGAAATAAGATTACAATTTTGAGTTCCTGAGCTATGCAGTAGATTTCTATCAGAGCAGTACTACAGTGAGCTTTTTCTTTGTACCAATGCTCACATAACAAGTGCATGTTTAAATTAGCCCAGGATGCTACAGATAATAAT